GATCTTAATAACATTTTTAAATAAATATCAACAATGGCTTCATTTAATAATCCACCACTTTGATATCTCTCAGATAAATAATTGATCCAAATACGATGTGGATAGGTATCTTTCTTATTTTCTATATTATTAGAATTAGAATTTAAATATATTTTAAATTCTGATACATTATTAAATGTTTGATTGGTTTGATTGAATTGATTGGTTTGATTACTATTACTATTATTATTAGTACTAGTATTAGTAGTAGTATTTGATTGATTATTAGATTGAACAGCTAATTCAACAGCTTCATCTTTTTCATGATGACCACTAAATAAACCATATCCTTTTTGAATAGTAAATTGCCATGCATTTGAAATTTCAGATAATAATGGAATATTAAAATCATTAGATTTAACAGATGCAATCCAATTCCAACAATAAATAGCAATATCCATTGATTCTTTTGTAAATATATAAACAGGTAACCATACTATCCATTGTAATAATGATATTATTAATGTATTTTCACTTAATACAAATGCTGTTGCTAATTTCATTGTATCTGATAATTGTTCATAAAATTTAACATTTACATTATTACCATTACCATTCATATTAGTAGTATTATTCATATTATTATTCATATTATTATTATTATATAATTTCATTAAATTAGATAATTGATTAATAATCATTGATTCAGCAGAACGTTTACCTAACATTAATTTTAAAGAATTAGCTTGACCAGAACTAAAAGACATTACAGAAATGGATTGAGTTAATGAAACTTGATCTTGTGATAGAATTGAAAAACCTCTCTTATCACTTTTTAATAAAATATTACTTCCAACTGCTTGTAAATGTTCAATAGGTGTTGATAAATAAACAGCAAATGTATAACCAAAATGTCTTAATGATGAAACATCTGATTGTTGGAATTTAATTAAATAATGTTGAAGTGCTGTTTGTGTTACATTAGGTGCAACTGTCATTGATTTACTAATCCATGATAATGTAAATCTATTAAATGATTCAAATAATTTACATCTATCACTATAATTTTCAGGTAAATAATATTCTTCATATTCTTCTTCTTCAATCATTTCATTATTATTCATATTATTATTATTCATATTATTAGTATTATTATTATTAGTAATACTAGATAGACTAGTCTTATTCATATTATTCAAATTATTCATATTAAAATTCTTTTTAATTTTAACAGAAATAATAAAAGTAGTTTTACCATTATCATTACCTTGATATAAAGCAGATTGTATTTCTAATAGAGCTGATAAATTATTTGAACTCCAATACATGGATGGAAATGATTTAATAATCATAATAATGAATTGATGTGCCATTTGTCTAACAATATCTAAT